TTTTAGATATACACATGATTCTCTTTAAATAGCGTAGTGCTTTGGTGGCCACTGAACTTGTGATCTATAATTCATTTTTAGTCAAGTCACTCTAATAGCAATATACACGGTAGCACTGCAGTGTTTCCCCTGCCATTATATTAGGGGGGCGGCCTGCCCCCTCCAACGTCACCCACCGCCCCCGAAGGTCAAGTTAATTTTATTTAATTTTATTTTCTCTATAGCGCCAGATCACAACAGAAGTAATTTAAAGTTACCTTTCCGATAGAACAGGTCTATACCTTGTTCTTTTATTAAACAAATTAAATAGCCTTATGTTATTTATCTTATTTACACGATGGCATGTCATTTCAGTCTCTACTTTATGGTCGCGCTCTCTGCATCACGCACAGCAGAGTTCCGCGCCGCTCCCACTCCCACTAGTATTTGTAAATATTAAGCCGCAAAACGACTATTTAAATATGAATTCTGCGTGTCTCTGTGTTAATGAACAGCGCAGACGTGTGGTTTTGTTTACTACTTGTACTGAAGGCCCTTGACCCTTGCGGTGATTTTAGCGTCTGCCATCTCACTAAATGAGGACATAAATACATGAACAACATCTCCAGAACTGATCTGAGAGTCACTTCATGAGCATTTGACCGTTTCATTTGAGTAAAACTATCCCCATATACAACATATTCACACAGAAATGTAAAGGTATTCACCGGCAACCCGTCAAAATAAAAGTTTGGTTTAACTTGAAGGCATTGCAACAGAAATATATTACTATTGTTCAGTCGAATGTATGTAATAGGCTGCTACTACTACTACTAAAATTATTAAAACCTTATTTTTAAGGTATAATCATACAATATTTCTTCAGTGTTTTAATTGTAATATTAAATTACCTTTATTTTCCAAAAAATAAAATTTGTTTAATTTTCATTACTTAAAAGATAGATTAAATTAATGTTTTATGCCTTAAAAATGTAAATACACAACACAGAATTTCTGAGCAAAAATCAAATAAATGAAACTTGTTTTTATGCTTTCAAATAATTAAACATGCTAAAACAGAATTTGGTTACAATAAAACGTAACATGTAATTCTTGTTAAACTTTTAATAAATTGATGTTAAATTGTTTAAGTTTCAGGATTTGAATTAATTAGACATGCTTTTTGATTAGTAAAATTTAATTTAACCATTAAAAAGGAGTCCAGAATTGTTTTTAAAAAAACTGAATACCCCCCCTCCCCTTTTCTTTTAAAGTTAAAAATTAACTTTTTTCTTATAAAAATGTGTGTCTGTAAATCTTGCGTCAACTCTGTTACCGTACCATACTTTGCCTTAAATTAGTGGAATTATCTCCCACAACTATATAAGATACAGGAAATTATGTCACTTTCCCTCACTGTTAAGATCTGAAGCACTGAAAAGTCTATGTGCTCTCTCTAAGAAAATATTTGAATCTAAAATTTCTTACACCAAGAGTTATTATACAAAGTGTCAAATCTGTTACCACAATATCAAAAGGAAAACAGATTTTTTCATTGATCACACTTTGTGTTATTTAAAAGTCTTTTAATCATGATTTCATTAGTGTCATGTGCTCTTAGCATTTACGCTAGCAAGTGGAGTTTTTTGGCAAATAATACAGAAAATTGTCAATTCTGTTACTGTCCAACTCTGTTACCAAGGTAGAGTAACAATGCTGACAATGCTGTAACAGAATTGCCAGTCCATCTGACCAGTTGTCAATTCTGTTACCTTACAATTCTGTTACTTAAAGGGTCAACTCTGTTTATGAACTATTTTCACAAAAACAATCAATTTGTTTAAAATTCTAATAAACATTATTGATTTATTTTTGCACCCTTATAATATTTCAACAACTTTTCTTTTTTTAACTGGATATTGTATATAATACATTTTCAGATGAAAAAATATTTGCTCCAAGTGGACGGTGCCGCAAAACGACTATTTAAATATGAATTCTGCGTGTCTCTGTGTTAATGAACAGCGCAGACGTGTGGTTTTGTTTACTACTTGTACTGAAGGCCCTTGACCCTTGCGGTGATTTTAGCGTCTGCCATCTCACTAAATGAGGACATAAATACATGAACAACATCTCCAGAACTGATCTGAGAGTCACTTCATGAGCATTTGACCGTTTCATTTGAGTAAAACTATCCCCATATACAACATATTCACACAGAAATGTAAAGGTATTCACCGGCAACCCGTCAAAATAAAAGTTTGGTTTAACTTGAAGGCATTGCAACAGAAATATATTACTATTGTTCAGTCGAATGTATGTAATAGGCTGCTACTACTACTACTAAAATTATTAAAACCTTATTTTTAAGGTATAATCATACAATATTTCTTCAGTGTTTTAGAATCTAAAATTTCTTACACCAAGAGTTATTATACAAAGTGTCAAATCTGTTACCACAATATCAAAAGGAAAACAGATTTTTTCATTGATCACACTTTGTGTTATTTAAAAGTCTTTTAATCATGATTTCATTAGTGTCATGTGCTCTTAGCATTTACGCTAGCAAGTGGAGTTTTTTGGCAAATAATACAGAAAATTGTCAATTCTGTTACTGTCCAACTCTGTTACCAAGGTAGAGTAACAATGCTGACAATGCTGTAACAGAATTGCCAGTCCATCTGACCAGTTGTCAATTCTGTTACCTTACAATTCTGTTACTTAAAGGGTCAACTCTGTTTATGAACTATTTTCACAAAAACAATCAATTTGTTTAAAATTCTAATAAACATTATTGATTTATTTTTGCACCCTTATAATATTTCAACAACTTTTCTTTTTTTAACTGGATATTGTATATAATACATTTTCAGATGAAAAATATTTGCTCCAAGTGGACGGTTCTGTAAAGACATATTATAATTTTATTTTAAAGGTATGCATAGGTGAAATATTATCTCAGTTTCAAGTGATGGAATGTAAGGACCATTTGAAATTGAGATTGAGATTAAGGACCAGGTCTAATAAAACAAGAAGGATTTTTCCTGTTATGATTTATTATTTCTACACATTGGCTAATTTGTCCGTAACAGAGTTGACAAACAATACCATAAAGACATCTGTTTTTTCATTAAAAGTTTAAAAAAAAAAAGGAAGTAACTTGTGCTTGGCAAGCACTGAATTATTAAAATTAAATGTTTTCAATAAGATACTGAAAAAAAATCTGTTAGTGAAAAGGTTTTTTTCTTAACTTTCTGCAATGCCAAATGTATCTCCAATTATAGAATCGCCCATGTACAGTTAAAAAAATTACCTTTGTATTCCTTCAGAATGAAACTAAGTCAATGTTTTACATAGATGTATGTGTATTTCAAATGCAGATGTTTTGCAAGAACCGATCAAAATGAATAAGTAAATAGCAAATAGCAGTGGCTGGGGACATCCTTAAAGGACAACATTTTAGCAATATTTAGGCTGTGTGTGGCAATGTTTTCCACTGCTAAAGCATACAGGAAGAGAATGCAGACACCCCTGAGACAAAGAGGCATTTGGTCACTGTACCCACCAAGCTGTTTCCTCCCATTCAGGGTTTACAGGAAAATGTCATTGTTCTCCAGGCAAGGCATGAAGTGATGTTGAAAAGATGGTCGCCAATTTTATTAGTGGTTGCCAAAACAGATACTATACAGACATTAACATCAATTTGCATGATTAACAGACAATAGCTTAATGCCCTCCTCCACCCTTTGCTAAAATTAAACGTGCACAACAAGGCATACTGAACATTGAAATAAGCCTGGTCTTTCCCTAGATACAGTTCTTCACCAGGATGTCAGCAACTTTCCTCAGGCCAGCTCCTTCCTCTTTCATTCTGTGTAACTGTGAATAACTGCGTGGAACATTAGAGACGTTCATGTGTTTATTGAAAGCCCTGTATGATTTCACAGCATGTCGGTGATGCTATATCATCATTACTCACATTCTTTAACCAAAACCAGTCTTGTGCGAACATTAAAGCGATAAATGACTGAAAGTGAGAAAACTGAGCTGAAAGATGGTTTCTACTGGTTTTACAGTCTGCATCTGGAGTGTGGAAGATGACTGCAAACAATGAGTTGTTGAGAATCTTGGGATGGCTTGGTAGGCCTTGGTAGGTAATTAAATGCGAAGACATATATATAGGTCTGCAGTTCATCTACAAATACATTTCCAAGATCTGCCATGGATTATTTTTGGTTCAACAGCAAAGAACAAGGGCAAACAGTGAACAAGACAGAAAATGTCATCTCCTCATGCAGCATAAGGTTTATGTCTGATGATGAAGAGAGGGAAATAGCAGGTTTTCCCTGGATGTAAGCCCCCTAACTAAACATTTGCCAGGATCTTGCTTAGATCTGCTCCACTCATGGGAGAGTTTCGCCCTCTAGTGGAACGGAACACTTTGTACTAAATGCAAAATTAAATTTTTCACGTTGCTCGTTCCCTCAAACGGTTTGCTCTCAAAACATGTCAAGTTCCACTAATGTGTCTTCTTAAAAAGATTTACTTGATTCAATTTTCAATTGAATGACCTCAAAGATACTAAAAATCTAATATCATGTGTCTGTTGAAAAAAACGGCATATGCTGGTTAGGTAGGCTATGTTTTGAAGCTGGGATGCTGGTTTGAGCTGGTCCTTTGCTGGTTTATGCTGGTCATGTGCTGGTCCTAAACTGGTCCGACCAGCTTAAAACCAGCACATGACCATCTAAGGACCAGTTTAAACCAGCATAAACCAGTAATGTACCAGCATAAACCAGCAAAGGACCAGCTCAAACCAGCATCCCAGCTTCAAAACATACCTAAGCAGCATATGCTGGTTTTTTCAACAAGGTGTAAATAAATTACAACTGAGCTGGGAGTGTTGGATATAACGGACGACATTGATACAAGATTTCATATTATTTTACGGCATGTTAACACGTATTGAACACATTGAAAATGGACAGTTGTTTTCTTTATTTTAGATTTTATTTCACTCACATTTCATATAAAACTTTGTATGTTTTGTCTCCTCTGTAGGCAACAGTTAGCATAAGTCACTCTTACAACGTACAATTCAACTCCATTCAGCCTTATTACTAAAGCACCTCTAACACACACACACACAAAACAAACAGACATAATCACATACAATCATAATGTAAGTTGGTTTTTAGTTACTGTAGTGGTCTCAAATCGGAGTACTTAAAAAGGAGGTGATATGGAAAACAAAAATATATCGGATTAAAAAGATACTTCGCGTTACAGCTCCAAGTACATTAGCATGTGCGATATTTAAGCCTCCTTTTTAAAGGCATTAGGTTTTAGACCACTGGATGGGTAGATGTTTATGTCAAATTTTTTTTTACAACAAACAAGACTGACTCTCGGTCTACCATGTTTTGGTCACTAGCAGGCCCTTTGACCACCATTTTTAAGGATACGTCAGTTTCTAGCTCAGACACTGCTACAGACGAAACTCATTTGAGTGCAGAAATGTGTGGAGGTGGCATATATTTCCACATGTTCAACATAAAAACAGAAATAAAACACACATAAACAATACATTAAGATCATTCAGTAAACTGAGACGAAGAGACATGTTAACATACAATGAGGCAAAAACCAATTAAGAAAAAAAACAGTTATAAACAGTAACAGTATAAAACAAAATCCTTCTTGTTTGATTGGTCATTTGCAAAATTGTTGCAGATTTAGATTTGAATCAAACTTAATGCTTGGAGCTTTACAATGTTAAGTCATGAGGGTGCAATCATGCTCACAAATTCATGATTAACCTCACATGCTCCATTCTAGCTAATGTAATCACATAATGAAGCATCTACTTTACTCATGAATTAAGGGTGTTGTAAGGGTGAGTAAACTTGAAGCAGAGAGATAACAGCAACATTTGCATTTACAACCATGTGTGGATTTTTAACATTTCTTTTTTCTCTCTCTACATATATTCTAAATACAGTGTTAATATTAATATGTAAAAACTAAAATAAGAGCACCTTTTGAAATATGATGACCCCATACTGCACTCAGAAACATAGGTTCATCTCACAAATCAGCATCAATCTTTCTGGCACACGTACAAATACTCATACACACTGCAAAATGACAATTTTTTTATGGGTTTCTTACATTTAAATAATTTAGCAACATCACAGAACTCATACTATTTGAAGACACCATTTTGTTTCATGTAACCATTCAAATTATTACTTTGTCTTTAACATTAAACAGAAGTGAACTTACGCATCTTACGTAAAATTTTCACCAACATTATTCATATTCTAAAACAAGAGGGATGAGAGAGGAATGGACTATAAAAATGCAACAGGGAAGAACAGTAAGGATAACGAAGCGAGATAGATGGTCTTCACAGGGTTTAAATGCAGGTTTGGACATTAAAAATTGGGTGCACTGTTGACGAAATTAAAATCAGCCTAACTTGTAATGTTACTTAAATACAATGACTGGTTAAAACTGTGGGTTTAAATGTTGAACTTATATGGGTCACAATCTCACAAAATGTGTTATTACATTTTTAAAATATAAAGTCAATTCTTGCATTGTGTCATTGTAAATTAACCACATTTTCACCCAAAATTCTTATTACAGTAAAAAAAAAAAAAAGTAATTACAAAATAAGTTTTTTTTGCCTTTTTTTCTCTTTTGAGATGTGAACTGGACGTGTTTTCATGAGATTCACCCATACAATCTCTTCTGTGATCTTTAAAGGCTTGATGTGCAATAAATGTGTATGATCTCATTCACTCCTGAAAAATTAAAACACCCCAAAAAAAAAAAAAAAAAAAAAAAACAAAAA